TGAATTGAGGAACGGATCTCCTCCCTCTCATGAATTGAGGAACGGATCTCCTCTCTCTCTCTCATGAATTGAGGAACGGATCTCCACCTCTCTCTCTCTCATGAATTGAGGAACGGATCTCCTCCCTCTCATGACTTGAGGAACGGATCTCCTCCCTCTCTCTCAGGAATTGAGGAACAGATCTCGTCCCTCTCTCATGAATTGAGGAACGGATCTCCTCCCTCCCTCGGGAATTGAGGAACGGATCTCCTCCCTCCCTTTCTCGGGAATTGAGGAACGGATCTCCTCCCTCCCTTGGGAATTGAGGAACGGATCTCCTCCCCTCTCTCATGAAATGAGGCAGGAAGGGATCTCCCCTCTCTCTCATGAATTGAGGAACGGATCTCCTCTCTCTCATGAACTGAGGAACGGATCTCCTCTCTCTCATGAACTGAGGAACGGATCTCCTCCCTCTCATGAATTGAGGAACGGATCTCCTCCCTCTCATGAATTGAGGAACGGATCTCCTCCCTCTCTCTCATGAATTGAGGAACGGATCTCCTCTCTCTCTCTCGTGAATTGAGGAACGGATCTCCTCCCTCTCATGAAATGAGGAACGGATCTCCCCCCTCTCTCTCATGAATTGAGGAACAGATTGACTTGCGCTTTGTGTTCTCACCTTCAGTGTGTCACGTCTCTGTGTAGCGCTGTGCGCAGGATTCTGTTTCCTGAACTCGTCCTGTTTTCTCGTCAGGCGTTCCAGAAGAGACTTGTTTAATCTGCGCAGATCTTCCAGTGGGTGGGCGGCCGACATCTTCTCTCATCAGTTTGTCTTTAGAAACAAATTAGATGTAATATTTACCGGAGAATACGGAGATGTGAGGTCACAGCTATTGTGCAGCATCCTGTGTGATAGAGAATCCCATAGAATACATATAAACCTCAATACAAAGAGACTATGAATAGGGATCAAAACAGCAGAGGGCAGCAGTACTAGTAACAGGACTAGTTAGCACAGAAAGAAGCTGCTGGTACTAATAATAAATAGTTAGCACACAGACAGGAGGCATCACTACTGGTACTAGTATCAAGATTGCTTAGCGAGCAGACACGAGCCATTGTTGGTAGAAGTAATTAGACTAGTTAGTGCAGATACTAACTGTGGGTAATAGTAATAAGACTATTTTGAGCACAGACATGAGCAGTTGTCACTACTGGTTATGATGACTAATTAGTGTATAGACAGGAGCTGGTCAATGCACAGAAAGGAGGGTGCTAGGAAGACTAGTTTGTGCACAGACAGAAGATGACACTTGAACTACCAATAAGACTAGTTAACACAGTCTGGAGCCATCACTAAGAGTGCTACTAGTAATCAGACTTAAGACATAAACTAGAGCCTCAGTTAGCACCAAGACAAGGATTGCTACTAGTTATAACAGCTTAGTGTACCAATGGGCTACTGGTAGTTAAAAACTAGTAAGTGCAGACAGGGGCCCCTACTACTAGTAAGACTAGTTAGTACACAGATAGACGCTGCTAGTAGCAGTAGAAAGACTACTAGTTAGTGCACATACAGGAGCTGATAGTATTAGTAGTAAGAAGACTAGTTAGTACACAGTCAGGCCCTGCTAGTAGTAGGTATAGTTAGCACACAGACAGGAGGCATCACTACTGGTACTAGTATCAAGATTGCTTAGCGAGCAGACACGAGCCATTGTTGGTAGAAGTAATTAGACTAGTTAGTGCAGATACTAACTGTGGGTAATAGTAATAAGACTATTTTGAGCACAGACATGAGCAGTTGTCACTACTGGTTATGATGACTAATTAGTGTATAGACAGGAGCTGGTCAATGCACAGAAAGGAGGGTGCTAGGAAGACTAGTTTGTGCACAGACAGAAGATGACACTTGAACTACCAATAAGACTAGTTAACACAGTCTGGAGCCATCACTAAGAGTGCTACTAGTAATCAGACTTAAGACATAAACTAGAGCCTCAGTTAGCACCAAGACAAGGATTGCTACTAGTTATAACAGCTTAGTGTACCAATGGGCTACTGGTAGTTAAAAACTAGTAAGTGCAGACAGGGGCCCCTACTACTAGTAAGACTAGTTAGTACACAGATAGACGCTGCTAGTAGCAGTAGAAAGACTACTAGTTAGTGCACATACAGGAGCTGATAGTATTAGTAGTAAGAAGACTAGTTAGTACACAGTCAGGCCCTGCTAGTAGTAGGTATAAGACTAGTTAGTGCAATGGGGTTGCTGGTACTAGTAATAATTCGTTAGCACACAGACAGGAGCCCCCTGGTACTAGTAAGAAGACTAGTTAGTGCAGAGACGGGGTCGCTGGTACTAGTAATAAGATTAGTTAGCACAGACATCTTAGTCCTCTCTCTCTTACCTGAACCCCGCTGTCCTTTTCTCACCTCCTTCCGCCATATGCTGGATCTGAACTGATCTCTTAAATCGGCGACACTGAGTCCGATCTCCGCTCTGAGGACCGTCGTACGGGACGTGCGGCCGCCTTAAGGCACGCCCCCCAGCCTTCCAAGGAGGTCCCTGATTGGCCAACTTCAAACCGCGAACTGTCCCGCGTAGCAGTGCGAGGACGCCATATTGGTCGTCCCGGCAACCACCCAGCCCTCGGCCAATCATAAATTCCGACACTCAGATTAACCCCTCTGCTGCCGGAGAACGGCGAGGTGTAGAGGAAGACAGTGTGGGCCCACCTATGCTAAATACAGACAGGCAGATCCTGATGGTGAATTCTCTGCATCTCACAGATCAAAATCTGACCGTATATAACAGCTGCACCATTCCAACCCCAAGGCACGGTCCTCTAAGGCCTATGTGACAAACAAGCCTGCCCCCCCAATACCAGGAACCCAAAGTGACCCTGTCACTACAGCATTGAGACAAAACCAATGGCAACCCATAATACAAAATGGGCTGTACTTACCTTTCTGGTGGGCCTTGCTCTAAAAATTAGCCATGTTGCGGATTCCCAGCCACTACATGTATCTGACACTTCTGGGTGTGTCGAATAACTGCTTACCCCCTGCCATGTGTGGTGGTTCCTCCCCAGACTCATTATCCTGTAGTGATGCAAGTGCTTGGGAAGATACTACAGCAGGAAGGGGGGAGGGGGAGAAGCAGGTATTTGACACACCCGGAAGTGAGTGCAGGACATTTTGTTTTAATGGCCGCCTTTTAGCTGTGTTTGGATGCTGCAGGGACAGGGTCACTTTATGAGCCATAACAGTAAATCTTAAAGCTCCACACCGCAGCTTAAGGCCTCATACACATGGGAACATGAGGGTGTATAAGGTAAATGGCGGACATACTTCTGCAGAACATAGCAATGAATTGCTGTACTTGCATAAACTCATGCATGAGTACAAAGAAAGGCGGCATCCAAGGGCTTCACTCATGCATGGAAATACGCAAGCAATGGTGTAAAGACGATCGTTACTGGGGGAGGACACTGAATGCAGCAGCTTTGTATCCTCCTGGGTGTATATCCTCATGCAGCAGCTTTGTATCCTCCTGGGTGTATGTCCTCATGCAGCAGCTTTGTATCCTTCTGGGTGTATATCCTAATGCAGCAGCTTTGTATCCTGGGTGTATACCCTCATGCAGCAGCTTTGTATCCTCCTGGGTGTATATCCTCATGCAGCAGGTTGTATCCTCCTGGGTGTATATCCTCATGCAGCAGCTTTGTATCCTCCTGGGTGTATATCCTCATGCAGCAGGTTGTATCCTCCTGGGTGTATATCCTTATGCAGCAGCTTTGTATCCTCCTGGGTGTATATCCTCATGCAGCAGGTTGTATCCTCCTGGGTGTATATCCTCATGCAGCAGGTTGTATCCTCCTGGGTGTATATCCTCATGCAGCAGCTTTGTATCCTCCTGGGTGTATATCCTCATGCAGCAGCTTTGTATCCTCCTGGGTGTATATCCTCATGCAGCAGGTTGTATCCTCCTGGGTGTATATCCTCATGCAGCAGGTTGTATCCTGGGTGTATGTCCTCCGCCATTTAAGTTGTATGGCCTCATGTAATCCTTTTGGGGTGTAGAAGCTGCCAACCCAGTATCCAGACCACCAATATCATACCCCCGCCAAACTACTGGATGACAACGCTATAGTTTCTATATAATAAGACTGCAGGGATTCAGCAACTTTAATCCACTCCTCCATGACCACCAGTGTCTCATGGGCCCTAGGCTCCATTCCCAGAGGCCCGTATTAATGGGGCAGTGTGTCGCCATTGGGACCCTCTGAGGAGGCGGCTGTGGCCCAACTGTTGTGGAAAATGTTTGGGGAGCTGCTTCACCCGCTCAACTATGAACATGTGATCTTACCTGCTTGGAGCTTCAGACACAGTGTTTAGTGGGTGCGTGGCAACAGTGAGACCTGCCACCCAAGTGCCTCCTCGTGCTGCTCATGAAGTGAACATTGGATCAATAGGATTAGACAACATCAAGCAGATTTCAGCAGCTCCTGATTTCCGGGGACAAGGACTGGTCTGACCTAGGGAATGTTCCCGGCTTTACAACTGACCAACACCCAACAAAAAACACTTTTACACCTGTTTTTTACCCGTGGATGCTTCTTAGTGCTGCCGATCTCCGTCAGCTTGTTTGCAGCCACCTCCTGTCTACATGTATTTGATCAATGGCTGCATGGCACTTGTCACCATTAGGAAACCCGGCATGATAACAGTGGACCATGTATGTGCAATGTGTGTTGAAACAGCCACTTGTAGTCACCAGTGGGAGGCAGGGTGACAATGCAAGAGTACAACTGGGACATTCCTATCAAGTGTCATTGGAAGGACCAGGATCCCGACCCTTCTGCCTCCTGACATTTAGATGTGACCGTTTCCAAGTATACAGACAGAAGAAATGAACATCTCATCCATCCACTGAGCAATATCCAATATGGCGTGTAGAACTCAAGACAAAACACAGATGAAAGTCGTATTTCTTTTTTGTTTTTTAATAGTCATGTGTTACAGCAGACATGCAAAATTAAATAAATTGTAGAAAATAAATCAATTGCATAACTGACCCATGACTGAAACAAGTTTTAAGTAAATAAAGTGCATAACACCTAGCGTCACTGAAGTGCCTTCTATCCAGAGCTCCTTACATCAAACTCCTGCAACGTCTGAGTCACCCGCAAATCCGCTGAGCCATATTGTGGGCTTATGGAGGGTCACAATGCTAACCTGGTTCTGAAAGTGCTAGTTCCCTGGCTTGCCCGTTCAGGACCATGAAGGTGAGCATAGATGGGTCAGGGGGTAGGCTTTTAAGATACCCTGTCCCCTTGCCCATTTAGAACCCATATAACAGGGTCTCTTTAAAGCCTGACCCATCTATGCTCAACTTTTACAACGCTCCACTGCCATCCCTCCATTGCAGCAGCCACAGAAATACAAGGTGGTTAAGCTTGCAGGAAGTGATGACAAGTTACTCTGTCATGTGACGGCATTCGGGTTCAAGCATTGCATCACAGGAGGTCCCATGCTCCTGCATACCCTGAAGCACCAGCTAATTTGCAGAGGCCGTACAGAATAACTGAGACTGGAGCGCTGTGACGTCAAGCATAACTGGATCGCAGGTTGGTTTTAAATAGACCCGGTGACAGGTTCTCTTCATACTTTGAGACACTGAACTGGGACAAGCCTGCAGATTTTTATATTAATCTGCACACTTCAGGTCAGTGGCACAGAAATTAATGAAGCCATTTAATCACCATGATAGCCAGGCAACTGGCATTTTAGTAAAAGGCAGGCAATAGCACC